ATCCCACACCCTCCACTCATCCCTAATCCCACACCCTCCACTCATCCCTAATCCCACACCCTCCACTCAGTCCTAATCCCACACCCTCCACTCTCCTTTATCCCACACCCCACGTCACGTTCCAGCTGTACCCACACACGCAGGAGTTTCACCCCTGGCTGTCCCGGGTGCCTGTGGTCAGTCCTGGCTGCCGATGTTTCCACCCTGGATCTGTCCCAGGACACCGGGGCTGCATCCAGAGCTCCGAGCTCCATCCATCCACAACCAGCGGGACAGAGCTCCACGTTCCAGACTTCTCACCCCAAAGTCAAAGCCCCTCGAGGGACATTTGTGTCTCCCTGTCCTCTGCATCTCCTGCCAGGAGCAGCCAGGTCCATGAGCAGAAGCAATCGAGGGATGGGTTTGCTTTGCTTGAGGCAGGGCTGATCCAAACTCTTCCCGACGCGTTCCTCGTTCCCTCCTAGAGCAGCCGGGGCTGGGCAGGGCAGGGTCACACTCGGCTGTTCTCTCACCAGGGGATCCCAGGGGTTGAAGGTCCCACCACCCCTGCCTTGAGTGCGGTTTTTAACAGCCCATTGCAGATTCCCAGGGCTGCTGCCTGACAGAGAACGTGACACCCCCAGCCCACCCTGAGCTCTTGAAATGAGTCCCACGTGTCGCACTCGGTCCTTTCAGCGCTGCCACATCACCGTGGGACCCGTTCCCCAAGGCCCAGGGGGTGCTGCAGGCGGTGCTGGGAGGCTCGGGGTCCATCTCCAGCCATGCACTGGTGCCTCCTCCCATCCTGGGAGGCTCGGGGTCCATCTCCAGCCATGCACTGGTGCCTCCTCCCATCCTGGGAGGCTCGGGGTCCATCTCCAGCCATGCACTGGTGCCTCGCTTCCCTGGCAGGTTTGCGGCGCTGGTTTAGGTCCCTGGTTTAGTGCCTCCTCCCATCCTGGGAGGCTCGGGGTCCATCTCCAGCCATGCACTGGTGCCTCCTCCCATCCTGGGAGGCTCGGGGTCCATCTCCAGCCATGCACTGGTGCCTCCTCCCACCCTGGGAGGCTCGGGGTCCATCTCCAGCCATGCACTGGTGCCTCCTCCCACCCTGGGAGGCTCGGGGTCCATCTCCAGCCATGCACTGGTGCCTCGCTTCCCTGGCAGGTTTGCGGCGCTGGTTTAGGTCCCCAGTTTAGAGACTCCGGACGCTGCTCCCCCTCCAGCTGGAGGCACAAAAGGCGAAGATCCCAGGGGGAGATAAGAACAATTTACTGGAAACAGCAACGAGATAAGAGAAGGAGCAGGAACAGCACCAATATTAATAACCAAAGGTCTAAGAAAATAAATTATTCCCACGGACAAACATCCCCGACAATAAACAAACTCCAGACGGTTCCCTCATCCCGTTCACTCGAAGGTAGGAGCCTCTCGTCCCTGGAAGAGAATCCCTCCGTGGCTGAGGTGGGACAGAACCAGCCCTGGTCCCAGCCAAGCCCCTCCCAGCTGCTGCAAAACCCAGCCCTGTCCTGGCAGAACCAGGAGTGGTTGATCCACGACCCCGCGGGGAGTTCACCGGGAGGAGCCAGCTCAGGGGGTGTCCAGGTGAATTTGGGGGCCTCTGGGAGGGGGAAATCCACTGGAGGTTGTAGCAGGACTCAGGTGCTCCGGACCTCTCCCGACAGCCTCGAGCTCAGCCCAGCTGTGCTCCAGCTGTGCTCCAGCTGTGCTCCAGCTGCGCTCCAGCTGTGCTCCAGCTGCGCTCCCTGCTGGGCTCTGCAGAAACCGGGCTGGGGTGGGAAATGCCCTGGATCCCCCATCCCCTGTAGGCCCCCGTATCCCCTATAACCCTCCCATATCCCCTATAGCCCCCCATATCTTCTATAGCCCCCCATATCCCCTATAGCTCCCTCTATAACCCCCATATCCCCTATAGCCCCCTCTGTAACCCCATATCCCCTATAGCCCCTATAGCCCCCTCTGTAACCCCCATATCCCCTATAGCCCCCTCTATAACCCCATATCCCCCAGATCCCCTATAGCCC